AATTATTATTTGCCGCATCATGCGGTCATCAAACCAGATTGGTTAACAACGAAACTTCGTGTAGTTTTTAATGCCTCAAGTCCCACTTCTAATAAAAGAAGTCTAAATGATAATCTTTTCGCTGGGCCAATATTACAGCAAGACCTTGTTCTACAAATACTAAAATGGAGGTTCTTTAAATACGTTTACAATGCTGATGTTACTCAATTGTACCGTCAGATTTTCTTAGATAGAAACCAGACTCGTTATCAAAGAATTCTCTTTAGGAAATCTCCTTTTGACCCAGTTGAAGATTTTGAACTTTTGACAGTCACTTTTGGAGTGAACTGCGCACCTTTTCTAGCGCTCCGCACACTCATGCAATTAGCAGATGACATTAAAGACACATACCCTAAGGCTGCTAAAATTATCTTACAAAATTTATATGTTGATGACGTACTTGCGGGAGACCATTCGATTGAGGAAGCAATTGACTCACGTAAAGAATTAATCTCTGCATTTGACTCTGCAGGATTTCAACTTAGAAAATGGACTTCAAATGAGCCCAAAATAATCAAAGATTTGCCAGAGGATCAACTTTTACCACTCAATTGGCTAGATTTATCTGAAAATGCGTCCACTAAGACTTTAGGTATCAGATGGAAGATCTCAGAAGATTGTTTTTCAGTTGCATGGCCTTCTATCGAACACCAGTCAAATTATACAAAGAGAGAAGTTTTATCTATAATTGCCAAATTATTCGACCCATGTGGTTGGCTAGCTCCGATAATCGTGGTTGCTAAATTAATTATGCAGCAGATATGGCTGGACAAAATCGAATGGGATGATACTTTAAAACCCATGACACTAACAAATTGGCAGAATTTCGTAAAAAACACAAAATCAATAGACACTCTTACTATTCCAAGATGGATCAAATACACTCCAAGTAATCAAATTGAAATTCATGGATTTTGTGACGCCTCAGAGAGCGCATATGGTGCCGCTGTGTATATTCGTGTCGAACATGCCAATAATAGTGTTGACACTTTTCTCTTAGCATCCAAAACTAGGGTAGCACCAATTAAAAAGATTTCGTTGCCACGACTTGAGCTTTGCGGAGCTGTACTTCTGTCAAAATTAACCCACTCCATAATAACAAATCTTCAAATTTCAAAAATTGAATCTTGTTTTCCACAATTGTTTTAGCTTGGCTTAAAAAACCGCCTTGCCACTGGAGCACCTTTGTTGGAAACAGAGTTTCCGAAATTATAGAAAACGTTGGAAATGAGCGATGGCGTCATGTTGATTCGGATGATAATCCAGCTGATATCGCAAGTCGTGGATGCTCACCGTCCGATTTAAAAACACATCATTTGTGGTGGCATGGACCACAATGGTTAAAATACAAAAAAGGTAGTTGGCCTTCGAATAAAATTCCGATAGATACCAATTTAGAAAAGAAACCAGCTAAAGTACTGACACTTGCAACCATTACTGGTAACGCCAAAGAAGAACTTATAAACAAAGATCCTTTAAAAAATTTCTCAAAGTTACAGCGAGTTTACAGAACGTATGCATTTGTTATGCGTTATTCCAAACGGCATTTAAGAGCTTGTCCCTATTTTTCTCAAGAAGAGATTCGACACGCTAAGCGTCTAGTTATCATGGTTACCCAAAAATACTATTTTGAAACAGAATATCAATTACTAAAAAGAAAGGCGAAACTTGCACCTAGCAGCAGTCTGGTTACTTTAAATCCGTATCTAGACACAGATGGTCTTATAAGATCAAATGGTCGCCTTGTACAATCCCCTGCGTTAACATATAATGAAAGATACCCCATTTTGCTACCCTACATTTCCAAATTGTCGCAATTATTGGTCGAATTTACACATAAAGTAACTTTACATGGGGGAAATCAACTCATGTCTCGAATCCTACGTTCTGAATTTTGGATATTCAAATTAAAAATCTTAATCAAGAAAACAATCCACAACTGTAAAATTTGCAACTTATATCGAAAACACAATCAAAATCAAATTATGGCTTCTCTTCCGCCTGAGCGTACTTCACTTGCAAGACCCTTCTACAATACTGGGGTTGACTTTGCGGGTCCTTTTAATATAAAGAACTTCACCGGACGTGCTTGTCTTGTTACAAAAGGATACGTGTGCGTTTTTATATGTTTTGCTACCAAGGCAATTCACTTAGAAGCAACCAGCGATCTGTCCACAGAATCTTTTTTAGCTGCGTTCGCTCGATTTATAGGTCGAAGAGGATGTCCCTCCTGTGTATATTCAGATAATGGAACGAACCTTGTGGGTGCCGCTAAATCCCTAAAAAAGGGCGCAGCAGAATTCCTTAGAAACTTTAGAACTCTCGCCGTTAATCAAAATGTCCATCAAGACTTGGAATGGAAATTCATTCCTCCGGGCGCTCCACACATGGGTGGATTGTGGGAGGCCGGTGTTAAATCCTTTAAGACTCATTTACGGAAAAGCTTCCCAAGTCTTAATTATACCTTTGAAGAATTTACTACCATACTGATTCGTATAGAAACTTGTCTCAATTCAAGACCCTTGAGCCCTGCTAGTGACGACCCTAATGAAATTGCTCCCTTAACCCCAGCCCATTTCCTCATTGGAGCTCCTCTGCTCGAACCAGCAGAACCTGACATTTCCGATTCTGATATTTCGTATGTTAATCGTTGGAAGCGACTCAAAGTTATATCCCAACATTTTTGTCATAGATGGAAAAATGAATATCTAAGTGAACTTCATAGAAGACACAAATTGAAATATCAAAAGGATAACTTAAAGAATGGTGATCTAGTGGTCATAAGGGATGATCGGTTGTCGCCAACAGAATGGAGATTGGGACGCATTGTCAAAACTTACCAGGGGGTCGACAATAACATTAGAGTTGTAGACATTAAAACTTCCCTTGGCATAACTAGCCGACCCATTACAAAAGTCGTCAAACTATTTACCGACTGACTAGTCGGACCCCCTTCAAAAAAACTTTGTACTCCTCTCTCTTTTTTTTTACAGAAATGGCGGCCTACCTCCCAAATCAAGAGTGGGAAGATGATGAGGAAGTGAGACCCCCAAACAGGCGTCAGCAACAAAACCGCCCCCAACCACAGCAAGTATCACCAAACAGGCGTCAGCAACAAAACCGCCCCCAACAACAGCAAGTATCACCAAACAGGCGCATTAGCGAGTCGCAGCAACACCAACGAAGAAGGCAACAATCGAGGAGCAGGTCTGGTCAGCGAGAGAGTAGACGAGAGCGGCCGAGTTTCTGGCAGTACTCATGCGGGCTGTGTCAGGACGACCATGCCATAAATACATGCCCCAGGTTCCGAGAACAGACACCGTACCAGCGGTATGAAACAGTGGAGAGGAGAGGGTACTGCCGCAATTGCTTGGCAAGGAGTCATTTGGCACCAGATTGTACATGTTTAACCGGTTGTCGAAGATGTGACCATCGACACCACACTCTCCTCCATGGAGCTCCACAGCTGGACAACACGTTGCAGCCTGCGCCCATAGTAATACCACCATTTTCTTGGGATTTAGTTTTTGTTCCAACCGCCTTGGTACGTGTTGCAAGTGAAGGTGTTGACACCTGGAAGACAGTAAGAGCGTTGATTTGCCAATCGGCATCCATGTCGAAAATTGCATACTCCGCGTTCCAAAGACTTGGCCTTAGATCATTTATCTACAGAAACAGACGATTTGCAGCGTTCAAAATCATGGCCAGAAACCCAAACAACACTTGGGCTTTAAAGGTAAACGCTTTGATATCAGATGACTTGCCTCGAAAACCCTATTCGGACCCATTACTTGAAGACCCAACTTCCTACTTTACGCAACAAGCTCTCGCTGACCCAGACCCCCGCAGCAACATACCAATAGACTTGGAATTGGGCGCAGATACCTACTCAGTCATTCGACAAGATGGTTGTACTCCTGCCGGAATTGGTGGCGTCCAGGCGTTCCAGACCAAACTAGGATATGTATTTTCAGGCCCTATAAAAATATGCCCACTAATTGAACTCATTTGATTCACAGATATCACGGCGGGGGAGGCATGTACATGAATGTACCCAACATATTTTAGATGTTGCTATTTTTTTGCCCAACAATGTGCGTGCTATTTATTTGGCGCACCACTGTACCGTAGCGGTACGCATTTAATATGCACACATACATGCATACGCAAGCGGTACCAAACTATTATGTATTTACAAGTCTTCGATCTCTTTTCCAGTCAGCATTGGAAAAGTCAAAGCAAAAATGCAGTTGGTGACGGCTTTGATGAGAACGAGATATTCAATCGAAGTTTTGCGTAAAATCGATCAACACGATACTTGACCCCGCCGCCGTGATAAAGTGAAGTGAAAGTTAAATTTTAAAAAGGTAAAAACAGTACCTAAAAACTTTTTCAATGTATTTAACAACGTGGATAAGGTATCTAAGAATAATGTATGTGAATAATGTATCTCATAAAGTGGATAATGTATCTATTTACATGCAACGTATTTAACAACCTGGATAAAGTATCTAATAACGTGGGTAATGTATCTAACAATGTGGGTAATGTATCTTCCAGAATGAATAATAAAACTAATGTATCTTGCAACGTGAATAATGTATCTAACAACGTGGACAATGTATCTATGGACTTGCAACATATTTCACAACTCGAAAAATGTACCTAAAAACGTTGACAATTTATCTAACAACGTGGATAAGGTATCTAAGAATGTGAATAATGTATCTCATAACGTGGATAATGTATCTATTTTCATGCAACGTATTTAACAACGCGAAAAATTTATCTAAAAACGGGGATAATGTACCTAACAATGGGGACATTGTATCTAGTTTATCTGAATACCTTATGAAATTTAAATATGTCGCATATGATTTACTCCTCCAAATATACTGTCAGATTTCTAATTTATAGCCCAGACATCACAACATTTTAATCTACCCCTAAAAATAACTTACCTAAAATTTTCCTTATCGCTGATATCATTGTCCAACTTCAACAGATCTTTGATATGTCCAACACCCTCCACAACGTCGTTATCATTCATTACGAATATTGGAGCATTCAGCTGTAGCTGATTGTTGACCTCCAAGGCAGTTTGATAGTTTTCGGCATCACAAAATAATACCTTAGGTTGGGTGACCTTATAGACCATGGCAACAGAATCTAGAAAAATGGTAGAAAGAAACCAAATCAATTTTAATTCCAACGAAAAGTCTTTCACTTCCTCCTCACTTACCTTTATCAAAACTCTGATACAGAGCATTCACGGGGGTGCCACACACAAACGAAGACAACATCAGTGTCGTCACATGTGTCCAATTGCTGGCCATCAGGCCAATAACATCACCCTTCTTGAGACCTAATTTAAGGAGATTTTTACTCAACACCCGCGAGTGATCCAATAACTGTTGGGCCGTCAATTTCTCCTGCGTCACATCGTGTATCTGTACAATCTTATCCGGGCATTTGTTGAGAACTTCAAAGATAACTTCTCCCAATGTTATGTCCTTGTTATAGAAATCTTTTCGCTGGGGTCCAGACCATATTTTTTCTTTTGCATCATAATAGGTAGCGGTGAGCGGATACATATTCGTCAGTCTCGATGGACGGTTTGGTGACAACTGCTGTTTAGTGGTTTGTTTAAAATTTGTTTTATGAAATGATCGGAAGTTTTCTTTGTTAAGTTTTATTTTTGGGGGGATTAGGGACATTGATAAGATCAAAATAATCAACATAAAACAGAGGCGTCGATTTTACGGATGTCATATGTGATCGCTAATGGAAAGAAAATGCAAACAATTTAAATTGTTTAAAGTCAACTTCCTAATAATGAAATAAATTTATTCCATGTTGGAGTTTCATGTATAGAATTTTTACCACCTGCACATGTAAGACTTTCGCAGATATATGCAATGCTAAAATTTGCCTAAATAATATATTCATCGATTCAATCCTAAATTGGTATTATATTTACGAGTTTAAATACAATAGCATAGTATGGTATTGGTATATAAATAGTTATCGGCTCGAAGGTATTGGGGATTTTCTGGACTCATAATTAGTCGGTTTGATAGTTTCTTGGAAACATTCTGGTTCCTATTCCGAGAGTATTCAATTGGTGCATTAGCATAGCACGGAGCGTGCACAACGGTTGCCAGACACGTAGAGAGTACTTTTTTGGGCTTAGCTTTTTTGGTAAGATCTTGGAACATTCTACTGATACGAAGTAGCGAAAACAAAAGTCGACACTTTTCGATTTGTACCTTCAACGAAAAAGTCCACTTTTCTATCTTGTTCAATCAGTCACATTCGAACCATACCACGAAGTAATTTTTAGGAATTTCTTCAATAAATGCAACAATGTTAAGTGGGTCGTAAAAAATTTTGGAAAAGGTCACAATGAAAAGGATCAGTTTTTTACGATAGATTCAAAATTCTGATTTTGAATTATATTTGAACCCATACCATAGTTCAACGGTCCTTCGGGATTGTGATGAAATTCGCAAAAGAATTTCAAATCTCAGACGGAAAATTAAATTTGGTTTCCTTGTTAATAGAGAGCCTCCTAGAAAACAATTGTTAATATAGCTTCCCTTATCCATGTTCCCAAATGTACATTAGTGATTGACAATAGCTTTCTCATCGCTGGTAAGAGTCTGTGATCGGGGTTTACTCTTATATGCCAGTAAAAGTGGAAAGACCCATTTTCTAACCTAATGATTGTGAAAGTAATTCATTTGGGTTTTTAAAATACAAATCGGGTATTATCCAATCCACTTAGAAATTTTGGAACAACTCTAGTTTAGTAAAAAGTAAAAAAGCAGTAAGTTCGGCAGAACCGAACTTTGAACACCCTTCACCATTTGAAAACTTAAAAAAAATAAAATCTGTTAAAATCTTAACAAGTTAAAAAGCAGTAAGTTCGGCCGGGCCAAAATACCGAATATAGGGTTGTACTGATATATAGGGCCTATACGAAGACCTGAACCTGCATAAACAATTTTCTGTCACAGACTGTAGTTCCCATTACGAACTCTAAATACGTAATATGAAACTATTACGGTGAGTAATGTCGTTAAATCATTAAAATGCCGAATATAGGGAGGTACCATTATGTGGGGGCTATATGAAGGCGTGGACCTGCACAGAAAATTTTCTGTCATAGGCTGTAGTATCCATTACGAACTTCAAATACCAAATTTGAAACAAATCCGGGATCAAGAATACAGTACTTTGTTGGGACTGACATGAGTATTTTGAAGAGTTACAAACAGAATGACAAAGTTAATATACCTTCTATAGTATGGTGGAAGGTATAAAAATACCGATTATAGCCGTTATATTGGGGTTCATACGAACAAGTGGGGCGGGCCAGGGTACATGGATATTTAACTGAAAGACCCGGGTTAGATCCGGACCTACGAAATCGATATTTACAATAAAGGCATAATTTGAAAGCTATTTTAAATAATTCGGGAGTTTAATTTAAAATAATTCGGGAGTTAAATCTAAATGATCGATTTTAGCCGGTTTCCTGATCCAAAGTTTTTCTAAATTTGATGCTGTTTTAGGCAAGATAGGATAGATCTGGGTATGTCCAACAGATCTGGGTATGTCCAACAGTTGTTACGCAAACTATTTTTTTTCCTAAATTGGATGCTGTTTTAGGTAGCCGTTCTTTGACCGGGTCTTGGGGTTTTCTTCTCTGGGTATGTCCAACATCGGCTTCGCGTACTAATTATTTTAAATGTGATACTTAAGCTTCGGCCGGGACTTGAGATTACCTCCACTGGATATGTCCAACACCGGCTACACAAAGGAGAGTTTCTTATACTGAAACTTAATTCCAATGTACTGAATAGAATCGGGACGTCCGGATTCAAAGACGCCATATCTCTGGATCCAAGAAAGAAATTAGTTCCAATTCGCAAGTATTGAAAAATTAGCTCGGGGTAAAGCCATTGAAGTTCCAAAAAGTACAAGAACTTACACCACAACAGAAAGAAAATAGACTCAAAAGAGCTAAAGAGTTGCATCGCTTGGCCGAAATTGGCGAACTGCCAAATTTGGTTTTCTCCGATGAGAAAACATTCGTTGTCCAGTAGCTTTTAAACAAACAAAGTGCACCTTCGGTTGATCACCAGAACTCAAGCGCTGGCCATGGTGATGGTGAGGGCCGCCATAACAGCCGATGGTCGCTCTCCGCTCGTATAAATCGACCGTATCATCAGAATAAATGACGAATATTATCGCTAAAATATTCTGGAGGGTGTATTAAAGCCTTGGGCACACAAACATTTTTGCCGCAGACTATCCACTCAGCACGCGTCACTCAAGAATGGTTACAAGATGAATTTCCTCGCTTCATTTCCAGCACACAATGGCCACCAAAATCTCCGGACTATTATGTCTGGAGTATTTTGGAAAATACCAAAGTGTCGATCACCGGGAATGGGCCAAAATACCGCAGATCAACATTCGGGCGGCGTCTGACGATTTCATTGGCCGTTTGAAGGCCATTATTCGTGCCAAAGGTGACCAATTCGAACAAAACTAAACTTATTCCAAAATTTGATGCTATTTCCGACATTTTTTGTTTCCTTCAATCAAATTAAAAAAATGCAAAAATTATGGTGTTTGACTTTGTTGCCGATTTTTTTATCTCACCCTGTATATTGTCAAATCGGAGAATTTTGAAAAAAATGTCAATGGATTGCCTCTCTAACTAAAAATGTGCTTGTAATATTTATAACTTCCTGACGTATGAAGATTTAGACTTTTGATGCATTCTGGGACCTGAAATAGAATTGTATAACATATTATTTTTGGAATATTTTGACTTGCCGTTTAAACCAAATTTTGAGAAACATATTTTGAGAATGGGACCAAAAAGGTCAAAATAATGCTCGTATGTTTATCACTTACATTACCGAAGAAATAATATACCCAGAATGAAAGAATTCCAACTAACTTCGATTGGCGTTGAAGCTGATGTATACCAAAACCTGCATCACAGAATGATTGTTGTAACTACTTCAAATCGAGAAACGCTAAACACCAACAAATTCGAATAAAAGGTTCCAGTATGATTTTCGAAATTCTATATTTATTACCCCCCTCATAAACTACGTCTATATCGCCGTACTAGTGATTAGATAACAATTTTAAACTGCAATTTTTTTCTGTTTCAAAACAATGATTACAAATAAATTCTCATCATGTTTGTTTGTATAAAACGAAAGCGGTTTTTTCCTAGTTTGTGATAGGTTTTAAATTACGTATGGCATGCAGGGAGAGCAAAACAGACCCCGCCAATTAATGGTGGCGGAACGTGAGGGGGTCGTCTTTACGTGGGGTCTGCTGCCGCTACTACTACTAATCTAATCAAACAAACTATTAACGGGAGCAAACAATTCGTTTCTTGTTGTTGTTATTATTATTATTATCATACCAAAGAGCAATATAGCTTAGAAATGATAATAGGAGGAGTTAGCTATCAGCATTTAAATATGATTTTGGGTAATCTAAAATATATGGCAAATATTTGAGAAAAACTGGAATTGATGGAATTTTTTAGCTAATTAATATTAAATTTTAAATGTCATATAAAGGGTGCAACGTATAGAGACTACGGTATTTGATAGGTTCAGGATTTAATTGCAAAACAAGTAAAAAAGCTGTAAGTTCGGCCGGGCCGAACTTTGAATACCTTCCACTTCCATGGGGGCTATACGAAGACGTGGACCTGTACAGATAATTTTCTGTCACATTCTGTAATATCCATTACAAATTTTAAATGCCAAATTTGAAACAATTCTGGTAAATAATGTAGCTAAAATCGTCTAAATACCGCATATCGAGAGGTACCGTTATATGGGGGCTATACGAAGACGTGGACCTACATAGCCCGACACCAAAAGTCCTGCAGACATAATACACATTTGAGTAAATTTTTATCCACTTACTTCATTTCGTTCGGAAGCTAGAGTGATTTCCACAGACGGACGGACATTGTTAAATCGACATAGAATTTTATGTTGATCAAAAATATATATACTTCGTGGGGTCTAAAATGTATACTTCGAGGTGTTACGGCGTTACGGAATGACAAATTATAGAATAGAAGTTATTGTCCAAACTTGTACATGGTAATATGTTATCATACTTACATCGAAAACGGAAACGGCCAATATCAATCGACTCTGTTTGATAGAATGCCCCTCAAAATTTCAAAGTTTTTAATAAACGAGTTAAATAGAATCAGTCGGTATTGCCGACAGCTGCATACCCTCAGCCAATTTTCGGTTATGATTATTACTTGCGTTCTGATTATTCAATTTCTTGACCCTCCATAGGAAGGGCTCCGAACGAGGTCGGCCAATATTTTCTATTTCGTATCTGACATTAGTCTGATTAATTGTGAATTATTTAAAATTTTGACACGCTGTGGGGGAGGTACCAGAAGGAGTAGTCCGATATTGTCCATCTTCACAACATATCTTGTATTGATAGAAATATTGAGATGTGCTGAGTTTCAAAGTAATCGGATGCTCATTTTGTGTTTTATGTGTTTAATGGTTATTCCAAATGTTGACCCTTTGTGGAGGAGGTACTAGAAGGTGTGGTCTGTTCAATCCGTTCTTTATACCAGACCTTGTGTTAGTGGAAATATTGAAATGTGCGAAATTTGAAGATAATCGGACTCGTAGTTCAAATTTTATAAACGTTATAATTATTCAAAACTTTTATCCTTCGTGGGGAGGTACCAGAATACCATTATATCGATACATCCCATCTTCACACCCTACCTTGGGATAATAAAAATATTGAAATGTTTGTAATTTTAAGACAATCGGACTCTTATTTCACATTTTATAAGACTTTTAATTATTCGAAACTTTGACTCTTTGTAGGGGGTACAAGTACCGCCCTGACCTAGTACTCATTTAGTACTCATTTACTCAGCCATATGGCTGAGGGTATAAAAATACAACTTTAATTGGGCGTAAAGAGTACCCGATGCAGTTTAAACTTGGGGCCCTCTATGGCTCCTTGTCTTCGTAAATTCCTTGAAACTGGTCAAAATTTCTAAATAAGTGTCCCCTGGAACTTGTCACATTTATTAAAAAAGTGTCCGCTACGGGCCTGCGTTTTCGTATCTTAACCGGTTCTCCAATGTGTCTACGTTTTGTAATTCCCCTGAACTGGTCAACATATCCAAAAACGAACGTTTTCGTATTCCTTCGGAACATTCCAAGCATTTTTAAAAAGGGTCCCATGTGGATCCTTGTGAACTAGATACCCCGGAATTTCCAATTTTCCAAATAATGATCACCTATGGGTCTAGGTTGTAGTATCTTTCCTGGAACTGGTAAAAAATGTGTCCACGTCCTCACACTCTATGGGCCCAGCTTTTCGTATTTAGCCCCGTTCTATCCACGTTTTCGTATTTCCCCTAATCTGGTCAACATTTGCAAGACATACGTTTTCGTATACCCTCGAAGCTAGTCAAAATATCTAACAATGGGCGCTATGGATGCATGGCTTCATTCTTACCCAGGAACTGGTCAACCTTTTCCAAGAGGATCGCAAAATGTTCCATTTTATCGTTCCTCCACCGGAATTAGTCAAAATTTACGAATAAGGATCCATGTTTTCAAATGTGTTACCTGTTTGTACACGTCTTCATCAACCCCCCACCCCTCCGGGAACTTGTCATAATGCCCAAAAAGGGTCTAGGTTCCTATGAGTCCACGATTTTATTACCTATGTCCATATTTTCCCAATATGACCCCATTTTCGTATTTCTCCTGGAGCTGGTCCAAATTTTCGAAAATAGATCCCCTGTTTTCATACCTCCCCAACGTTTTCATACCTCCCCAAAAACTGGCCAAAATGTTACAAAAGGATTACCCATGGCTCCACGTTTTCATAACTCCAAAACTGATCAAAGATCTCAAAAAAAGTCCCATATGGGTCACCGTATTCGACCTTCCCCCGAAACTGCATAACATTTTCCAAGGAATAGATGGGCATCATAAAATGGTTAACCGACAGAAGGCCTTTCAATCATTTTCTAAATAAAAGTTTTTATTCACAAAAAAATTATTAATGCTAGAATATTAAAAATCTCTATTTCTAATTAACAGCATTCTCTTCTTTGCTCCGTTTCACAACCATATCCATGATGGTTTTTCGCAACATTTTTCCCGTGGCGGTTTTTGGCAGAGCTTCGAAAAAATAAACGCCACCATGTAAATTATACATTTCGGCAATATTTGCTTTGACATGATCGTCTATGTCCTTGGCGGTTAAGCGCTGGCCCTCCTCGTCAGCCGTTCTGACCACAGCGGCAGCTGTTAAATTTGTGGCCAAAATATTGGGTACGCCAACAACACAAACATCAAAAACCCCAGGGACTTTGGCAATTAACCCTTCTAAAATTTGGGGATAAATTTGGAAATTTCTAGATTTGAAAACATCATTGCCACGACTGCAAAAATGAAGGAATCCTTGCGAATCGAAATGACCCATATCGCCGGTGTGCAGCCAGTTATCCACCAAAGCCCGTTTGGTGGCCACTTCATTTTTAAAATATCCCTTCCAAGAGTATTGGTTCAACTGAATGCATATCTGGCCCAGCTCATTAGGACCCAAGGGCATACCCTTGTCATCGATGATGCGCACAATACGATTGGACACCAGCTGACCCACAGAGCTCGCACAACGTTGCTTTGGAATTGTGCCATTCATGCTGACCAGTCCTGCCAGTTCGGACATGCCATAGGCTGCCATAAAACCAGGCCGCTCCCTGGCATTCGGTATCATCCGCTCCATGCGTTCATGTACAATGGTAGGCATTACTGAACCTCCGGCCCAAAAAGCAACAATACTTTTCATTTTCTCCTGGGCTTTGGTAACATCTTCCAGCAGAGCCACCTCCGCCAAATGACTGGCATTCATTATGACATGGGTGATTTTATGCTTCTCCACCAAGTCGAGGAAATATGCCGTGGTAAAACTTTTCTCCGTAATAATACGACAGCATGAGTTCATTAGGGAGGTGGTTAAGGCCCAGACGCCAGATATCCAATACATGGGACTGAAACCAAACAATACGGAGTCTGTGGTCAGATTTGGTCTGCAATGAGAAGAGTGGGAAAAGGAAGGGTCAAGTGCAGAGGTATTCACTACTTACTTACGCATTTTCCTGATTAAGAAAGGCCAGATGTGAACACAACACTCCCTTTGCCGGACCCGTAGTGCCAGAAGAAAAAACAATCAAGGCCGTATCATCACCGTTCAAATCGAAACAAGGATAACTAGAAAGGGAGTATCTTTCGTATCAAGAGATGTCTGTGTTGTGGGGGAATTGAAGCCTTAGCATACCTTAGCATTCAAATGAATGTACTGCTCCAAAAAGAAGTTGTCTTACTCACCTAAAATTTTCATCAAGTTCTTCATTCCACTCCAGAAGCTCTTTGACATTGGCAACCCCCTCCAGATGGCCATTCAAAACAAAAATTTTGCAGTTTAAATTCAATTCTTCGTTGACTCTTCGAGTATTTTCGTAATTTTCAACATCGCAGAATAATATTTTCGGACGAGTTACACTGTATAGAGCAGATACCGACTCTGGAATAAAATGGAAGGAAAACAAACTAATAAATATTAAATGAATTTTTAAAATAAATTGCGTCTGAGTTGTATAACAGCTCAACATATTGAATTTTTTATATTTGTGGCAGACCACAACCTGACTACAGGGGAGGACACTAAGAAAATTTAAAGAAAGCCAGGCTCAGCCAACAATTTGTTTTGAAAAGTTTGGTGTCGAACTAATAATGTCCGTCTCTCTGTGAGTCTGACCAGCTGGTGTCCAAGATAACTCTAAAAGGAGGTATTCGATTTGATCTGTATTTTATATACACTTCCTTAATTCCGGGCATTGGGTACAGCAATTAAGTTCGATGTAAGAAGCATTTGGAAATGTGTACTTAGTGTAGCAAATTTACAAATGGTACTATACAGGGTGAAATGAAAAAACTGCAACCAACTTCACCTGTTAAAATTATTCCAGTGACAGCTCATTATATTGTTTGCAAGCGTACAAAAGCATTTTGGTGAGAATTTTCCAGAAAAAAAGTTATTCGTGATGGAATTCAAGCGTGATAGTATGATTTCTTTATATTCGGCTGGAAACCCATAAGAGTCTATCGTTAGAGTACTCCAGCATTTAAATGTGAATAAATCTTTTGTGTCTCCTACCACCGCTCGTTTCCGTGATACTGGTAGCGTAGCCGGACGTCAAGGAAATGGACGGAAGAAAACAGCAACATCAGCAGAAATGCTTCGAAAAGTAAAGAAGCGACTTGATCGAAACCCGCGTCGCAGTGGCTGAAAAATGGCTCATGAGCTGGACATATCGCAATAATCCATTCGCCAAATATTGAAAAATGAACTCGTGGTAAAGTCATTTAAATTCCAAAAAGTGCAGGGACTTACACCGCATCAGAAAGAAAATAGACTCAAAAGAGCTAAAGAATTGCTTCGCTTGGCCAAAAGTGGTAATCTACCGAATTTGGTTTTCTCCGATGAGAAAACATTCGTTGTCCAGTAGTTTGTAAACAAACGAAATGATCGTGTTTAGAGGTCGTGTCAAAGAGGTCAGCTGAAAATGTGTACCTTCGGTTGGCCACCAGAACTCAAGCGCCGGCCATTGTGATGGTGTGGGCCGCCAGTTGGCACTAAAAAATATCAAAGTGTCGACCGCTTCAAGCAAGCGCTTCGCCGGGAATGGACCAAAGTACCGCACAGCAACATTCGGGCAGTGTGTGACGGCTTCATTGACCGTTTAAAGGCCATAATTCGTGTCAAAGGTGACCAATTCGAACAAATATAAACTTATTCTTAAAATTGGTGCTAATTCCAACATTTTTGCTTTCATTCAATAAAATTACAAAAAAAAAAAAAAGTAAAAATTATGGCATTTGACTTTGTTGCAGTTTTTTTTATCTCGCCCTGTATATCCATCAATAAATGATCTTCGCCTTAAATTTTGGACAATGAACACCATTTTTATTTTCACAAAAATTTCCACTATCCAATGGAAAAATCCAAGTGGATTTGATAGTACTCGGTTACTTTCATGCATCAAATCGAAAAAAGACCTAGCGAAAATTGATCAAAAACTTATCATATATATTTATACCCTCCACCACGCTATCAGCGTAAAATTCTTGATCAGCGTAAAATTCTAAGACGATTTAGCCATGTCCGTCTGTCTGTCCGTCTGTCTGTTGTAATCACGCTATCTTTCGAACAAATTCGAGATAGAAGGCTAAAATTTTGCACCCATGTATATTTTGCCAGTAGGCAGGTTAAGTTCGTAAATCGGCCATGTAGGCCCAAGTTATCATATAGCCCCATATAACGTTACCTCCCGATATTCGGTATTTTGATGTTTTAAGCGACATTATTCACCGGAATTGTTTCCAATTTGGCATTTGAAGTTCGTAATGGATACTAAAGCCTAAGACAGAAAATTATCTGTACAGGTCCACGCCTTCGTATAGCCCCGATATAACGGTACCCTCCGATATTCGGTATTTTGATGATTTTAGCGACATTATTTAACGGAATCGTTCCAATTTGGTATTGGTATTTGAAGTTCGTAATAGATACTGCAGCATAAAACAGAAAATGGGCCATGTAGGTCCACGTCTTCGTATAGCCCCCATATACCGTACCCCCCAATATTCGGTATTTTGATGATTTTAGCTACATTATTTACCGATATTGTGTGAATTTCGCATGTGAAGTTCGCAATGGATACTTCAGCCTATGCCAGAAAATAGTCTGTGCAGGTCCATGCCTTCGTAGAGATTTTTCTTATGATAAAAGTTGCCTATGCAGGTCTACGTCGTCGTATAGGCATTCGGTATTTTTAAGATTTTAACAGAATTTTAAACGGATTTTTTTTTTTGGAAATTGCCAAATTTGTACCACATGGTGGAGGGTATTAAAAGTTCGGTCGGGCCGAACTTACAGCTTTTTTACTTGTTCTTTTATATTATGGACATTGAGACCTATTTTCTTTAATGGCTTATAGTGAATTTTGATGACGAATAATTTTGTATTTGACGTCATCCTTCAGAAATATTGCTTTGTAGAAGAAAAATTCTTCTACATAAATTAATTTCCGGGGAAACTTAGTCTGAAAATTGCAAACCATTTTACACTCACACAATTTTAGATGTTTTTCTATTTTTATAATCTGCTGGTTTTTTTTCTGTAATTATTTTTTGTGTTGCACTTTATATAGTGGGATATGGAACCCTACTTTAAAATAGGCTATGGGAGTTGTAGTCTTCACTGTCTGTTGTCTAATTTTCTACATATTTTTAGGCTGAACTCAATAGAATGGATAAAGTCCACTCCCTGATTTAACCTAACCTTAAATTGCGCATCTCTTGGCAATATTCTTTGAAGGCACTTAGTGCAGAGGTGCTGTTTCATTGAAAAATACTTATCACAGCTAAAATTTGGAATTCTTCGTAACTATGAAAATCATTAGAATTGCTTTTTTCATTTTAGCTCACCTTTGTCAAACTCAGCATAGACAGGATTCACAGGACATCCGCAGAGGAACGAGGCCAGCATTACCGTCACCACATGTGTACTATTCGCGGCATACAAGCCAACGATGTCACCCGCATTTAAATTCAATTTAACCAATTGCCTCGTCAAAATTTGTGCATTCCGATACAATTCTCCGCATGTCATCGCCTCTCCCGTCTGATCGTGGATTTGAATAATCCTATTCGGCTGTTTCCGCAATTGATTACAAATGACTTCGCCTAGCGTGGCATTTTCACTGTACAGATCCTTGCGTTTCGGTCCAAACCAGATGCGTTTTTCTGCGTCGTAAGTTGTTGAGATCAATGGAAACATTTCGTTGTGTTCGCTTGAAGACTCGAGTTAATACTGTGGCATTTTCCGTCATTTACAGTTACATTTATGTCATTGACTTTTCCACCCGGTGGAGTAAGATCGGATTAAACGATGATGATAATAATTTTAATCCATGATTTGAGATAAGAAGAAGACGATGATGCACATGCTCACGTCATGTAGTATGTGTGTGTGTGTGTTTTGAACATGACATTGTTTTGATTTGTTGGAATGTGTTCAGCGTTAATGACATTTTAAGTCTCTGTTTTTGTATCTGGAACATTGTGTACTCAAACTAATCTCAATTCTAAGCTTAGGTTAATGCACCTATACAAATCCCAAAAAATATTGACTCAATGTGAAGAGTATTGAGCGTCTGTTTATTTTGGTATTTATTTGTTGCAACTTTCTCACACACACACACACGCTCATGGGCAAACATGTTGTTATTTTTAGAAATAATGCTTGAACTCTGTGTTCTTATCTGGAATTTCTTGTAGTCTGATGTCCACATGACTTGCAGGTCGAAATAAGGTTTCAGTGCGTGACATCATTGATTGCAGCATACGCCACTATGTGGAGAGGGTATCAAGCGTTTGTAAGCGTGTGTAAAGTCTCGAAATGCTGACCCGGTATATTTCCACGTTTTGCAGTGAACTCCGCACAGTGTTTCCAAATTTGATTTTCACGGATACAATCATTAGAAAACTTATTGACACTAAAAGCCAATAAAAGTATTCAAAAGTACTTAACATTTTGTATTATTTTTTTTTGTTTCTTTAAAAATTACAGAAAAAATCGAGAAGATTATGAAAGTAGAGCCAAAAAGTAAATGCTAGTTTAGAGGGGTTTTGACATTTCACATCGCAGGGGAAATATCTTTTGAACATTTTGGATTGAGATTCCTTGGAATCTTAACATTACAGGTAGATACTGTCTTCGGCAAGATGTGAGTTTATGTCAAATTCTCCCAAAAAGCATAATTCTAGTCATAAATTCAAAAAGAATATATTTCTTTTATAAATTAAGATTTTATCAATTTGATGATGAAAATCACATACAATTTCGTTTTATGGAAAAATAACTCTAAATAAAATTTCACTATAAATTTCTGAATAGATTATATGTCTCGGTTTAGTAGTTTTTAAAAAAATCATATTTGAATTGTATACAGGGTGAGGTAAAAAAACTGCAACAAAGTCAAACGCCATAATTTTTACATTTTTTTTTAATTTTATTGAATAAAAGCAAAAATATGTTGAAAATAGCTTCAAATTTTAGAATAAGTTTAGATTTGTTCGAATTGGTCACCTTTGGCACGAATTATGGCCTTCAAACGGGTAATGAAACTATCACAGGCTGCCCAAATGTTGCTCTGCTGTATTTTGGCCCATTCCCGGCGAAGCGCTTGCTTGGTGATCGACACTTTGGTATTTTTTTAGTGCCAACCTTGCTTTTCAAACTACTCCAGACACAATAGTCTAACGGACTGGTATTCGGAGATTTGGTGGCCATTGTGCGCTGGAAATGAAGCGAGGAACCTCATTTTGTAACCATTCTTGGGAGGCGCGTGCTGAGTGCAATGGTGCTGAGTCCTGTTGGAATGTCCAAAGTCTGCGAGCAAAATGTGTGCGAGCCCAAGGCTTTAATACATGCTCCAGAATATTTTCGCGATAATATTCGGCATTTATTCTGATGCCACGGTCGATTAATACGAGCTAAGAGCGGCTGTTATGGCGGCCATCGGCTGTTATGGCGGCCCACTTCATCTTCAAACCAAATTCGTCTGTTCACCACTTTCGGCCAAACGAAGCAACTCTTTAGCTCTTTTCAGTCTGTTTTCTTTCTGTTGCGGGGTAAGTTCTTGCACTTTTTCGAATTTCAATGGCTTTACCCCGAGCTCATTTTTCAATATGTGCCGAATGGAATATTGCGGTATGTTTAGCTCACGAGCCATTTTTTGGCCACTGCGACGAAGGTTTCGATCAAGCCTGTTCTTTACTTTTGGAACCATTTCTGCTGATGTTGCTGTTTTCTTGCGCCCACTTCCTTGACGTTGGGCTACGCTTACAGTATCATGGTAACGAGCGATGGTACGAGACACAAAAGATTTATTCACATTTAAATGCTGGAGTGCTCTAACGATAGAAACTTGTTGTTTTCCAGCCAAATGAAAAGAAATCACGCTTAAATTCCATCGCGAATAACTTTTTTTCTGGAAAGTTCTCGCCAAAATGCTTCTGTTCGCTCGTAAACAATAAAATGAGCTGTCACTGGAATAATTTTAACATCTGTCGGACGAGTGGCCTAGAAATGACAGCAGTCTGAAGTTGGTTGCCGTTTTTTCATCTCACTCTGTATATTACTAGCTCTAGTTTATCGAAAAGTCCAAGTCGACAAGTCCAAGCCAGTACATCAAATTTGGAGAAAATCGGTTCAAATATAGCAACACCTCTAATATTTACGTTTCATCCGATCTTTGGTTTTAAGTCCCTCACATGCGTAATATGCACTCCACAACAATGATATTTGGTACCAACTGTCAGATCCATCCCAGAAATATCTCAGCCAAATTTTATCAAGATCAATTCAGATTTGGATATTGCTGCCATGTATATCCTCAACCGATTTCGGGCTAATTGTGCGCCAAATGGCCAATATAAGTCCTAATGACTGAATTTTAGTACATCCAACCGAATTCAGTCTAGAAGCTAGTACATCAAATTTGGAGAAAATCGGTTCAGATATAGCTATAGCTCCAATATATGTTTCATCCTGTTTGGTATTTAAGTTCCTCATATTCATAATATGCATTCGACAACAATGATATTGGTACCAGATATCTTATAGACCTCAGAAATACTTTTGAAAAATTTTAGCGAGAGCGACTAAAATATAGCTCCCATATATACCTTTAATCCGATTTCAGGTTTATTGTGTAAATAATGGCTAATATCAGCCAAAATGGAGTGAATTTCGGGATGGACATTTCCATTTTGTGGAACTCGGCTCCTTTATATATGTTTTAATATAATCCTTCTCGAAGTGATATCATGCACTCTATAAGAATGTTATTTGGTATAAAAGATTAAATTTTCTCCCTTAAATTTAAGGAGAAAATCGATTCAGAACTGGATATGCCTCCTACATATTAGTTCCCTCTGAAACCAAACTATAACTGCTCTAAAGTCAGATGTTGATAGGTGGTATGCTCAACTTCAAATAAATTCTTTTGTTACGGGAGCTCTACTAAATATGGATAGTGGTGTGACTTTGATATCAAATTTCAAGAATTCAGGTCTTCAATTTATCCCATTACCAAATGTAGTACCATTTAGTACAATTATAGTACGCATATCCATAAACAGCTTCTTCTCTCAATCACAGGCACCAACAGTGACATCCATATCAATGTTTAGGATTTAAGCTCCATTCCTCCAGCCAATGTCAAATTAGTTCTTTTTCGCCCAGCCTCATATCTCAATCCCTGATACGATCAGTGACATCTATATCACACGATTCGGGATTTCAGATTTTTTCCTTTATCCAATACGAAATTTAGTACTCGCTAGTACTTTTCGTACAAATTAAATGTATAAATCTAAGCTTAACTGATTTAATACATACTCCATGGGGGACTTAAGAATTCCCTCATTACAAACTTCAGAATCATAGTTTCATCGGTTCAATCTAGGCTTGAATATATCAATCACTAACTCAGCGAGACAACTATCTTTTAATTATACTCTTAGCCGTATGGCTGACCAAAAAGTGTCTCATCGAAATAACGGTATTAGACCCTAGGTCTTTTTGGACCATTTCCGGGACATGTGAAGTCAATCTAGAGATATCCGTCTGTCTGGCTGGCTGGCTGGTGCGCACGATAACTCTTAAATAGATTATCATATGTGGTCTAGACTTGCTACATTATAATTATTATCAAAATTAGATCAAGTTCGCAGATGGCCAATATCGCACCACTCCTTCAAGTACCTACCCCACGAAAAATCGAAATTAAAAAAAAAAAATATTCTGATGCACAGTAAAAGACCTGATAATCCAAATTTGCTCAAACTTTGCAAATCCTCGATCAGTGCTAGGTCTGGTGCGAAAATGGGCAATATCGGTCCACTCCATCAAGCACCTCTTCCACAAAGGGTCAACATTTGAATAATTATAAGCGTAAGAGTCTGTCTTCAAATTACAAACATCACAATATTTTTAACTAACCCAAGGTCTGGTGTTAAGATGAAATATATCGGTCCACTCCTTTTGGTACCTCTCCCACAGAGGTTCAAAGTTTTGAATAACCAAAACGTTCATAAAATCCGAAATAAACATTATTCTCTCTTCATAATTCACACACATCCCATTATTTTTGCTAACACAAGATCTGGTGTGATCACTCCTTCTGGAGCCACCCCCACAAAGGGTCAAAATTTTGAATATTCATAAAGCTCATAAAACACAAAGTTAATTTCCGATTCCATTTACACTTGGTACATATCAATATTTACATCACCACAAGATTTGTTATAAAGATGGTAGAGATCGAACCATTTCTTCTGGTATCTCCCCCACATAGGGTTCAAGACTTAACAAACAAACCGCTCAAAGAAAGCGAAATAAGCATCGAACTCTCTTCAAATTTCACACATACAAACATTTTTGTTAACACAAGATCTGTTGTGAAGATGATATATATCTATCAACCCCTTCTGGAACCTTATCCACAAAGGGTGACAGTTTCAATACTTTTATCTGTCAACATTTGCGAAAGAATGAAGCGATTCTTTACAACTTGCTATATCTACATATTTCTCTCAACCAGAAACCTGAGATGAGTATGGAATTTTTTAGTTCGCATAAAATTAGATATTTATTTTAGATTTCATCATTTTATGTCATTTTACCAATGCTAATATATTAATCTGTATTAGATGCAGTATGAAAATGGAATACTTTGGTCGACTATATTTGGTAACTCACACACATTTTAATATTTTCTAAAAATTATTGCATATCTCATATAAAGTGAAGGAAGTAACCCAAATA